GAGAGGGAGGGAAGTACCAAAAACCTGTCGTATGCTATTAACTAGGAGGGACATCACAGTTTCCATCATTTTAAATGCTAGTTTAAATTAAGCCTGACCCTCTGACACACATTCATTCCGGAAGATACTTTGATGTTTGTGTTTGCAACTTGCTGGGGTCTTTTCCTTACGTAGTAAACTTTTTGATTTCTAATGGAAAATGGAAAAGGTAGAGAAACAGCCTCCTGAAAGTGTTAAACTTACCAAGGTACCAAGAATTCAGAAATGCAGTGATTGCAGAATTATCCTCAGGCCGTGTGTTCAGAGGGGATTTCCGAGAGTGAACAGTGAAAGGTTTTATTCTGAGTTGCTCTCTCACTCCTCAGCTTGTGTACCTTCAGCAGATGCTCCGACTCTGACAAGATTAGGATGTGGCTGGCCTGCTGCTGGGATATTTAACTGCACACCCTGTCCAGTTAAACACGCATACTTCTTCTTTACTTTTTACTTTAAACACTTCATAAGTAACAGTTCATGTAATATTTTCATAGAATTTTTGAATGAAATTGTATAGTTAGTAAAGAGGGGACCTTCAATTAGTCAGAATTTCTCCTAAATATTTTCCTATGCAAGAAGAAAATTAAGATTAGAATTAAGTTCAGCTGGGAGAACCAGAAAACAGAAACAAAATATTGAATGTTAGTGCCTTAGATAAGATAGATGTTTGTTTCTCTCTCGTGTACAAGTCCGAAGGGATGTATTCTAGAGATGTCCGGCAGTTCTGCTCCACGAAGTCCTCTGGGAAGGAAGCTTCTTTCTGCTCACCCAGGGGGTGGCCCTTGTCTCCGTGGACAAGGTGGCACCTGCGTTCCAGGTAGCAGAGTGGAGGAAAGGAGAAGAGGAAGGGGTAGAGGTGAGCTCACGGCCCTTCCCCGTTCATGCACTTCTCAGCCCCACATTCGGGAAGGTTTGCTGGTGCTGAAGGTCTGGCGCGGCCACTGGGGGTTCCTGAGTGATGTCCCTGCATGGGGAGGTGCTGGGAGACTCCTCAGGGTATCAGGGGGAGTGTTTGCTCCTGCCATGAACCAGGTGTTTGTGGTTGGAGGTTTATTTGAATGAGCAAGTGCAGAGAGGAAGTCAGGTAGAAGCAGCAGCCTATGTTGCCTTCCCTCCGTGGGAAATGCTCCAAATGGAAACCCTCCCCGGGAGGCTCTGATGGCTTAAATGCACTGAGAAGGGACCCTGAGGATCTGAGACCCTTCTCTGGGTGTCAAAGGCCGGTGAGCGGCGCCCCGAGAAGTCCCGAGAGCAGACTTTGTGAGGCAGTTAATAGATACAGCTGGACTCGACAGGTTTGATATACTGCTCGTTTTTATTCCCTACTGTGTGGTTTAAAATTGAGTTTGCAAAGGTGAAAGCAGAGCCAGACTGTCACGTACCCAGCCCTTCCTCAGCAGGTGCTGCCGTGCTGGCCCACCTGGCCGCCAGCGTTGAATGGCAGCTTGAATTCAGAAACCCTGGGAACACTGACCAAGGGTGTCCCGGGAGACCTGCAGGCTGGCCGTTGTGCAGGTTTGCCGCGCGTGTTGCTGAAATTTGAAAACCTTTCAGAAGATCTTTTGCTGAGAAGTAAACTTTCTGTTCTTTGGATATAATGCTGTGGCTGGTCCTTCAGATAAAAAGAAATTATTTTCTGGTAGGACCAGATTTTAGATATGATAAAAATTAACACTGTTCTTTTCTTGCTATAGCATTTGTGTCTTAATGGCAGTTTGCTAGGTATTTTGTGGATTCAGAGAAACCAGGCTAGGGCATGAGCCCAAGGCTCGAGCTGTGATCAGCAGCTCTCTGGCCTGCCCTCTTCTTGTTCTCATGCTCAGTGGGAGCCTGCTCCTGCCTGCAGCCTCAGCCTGCTCCTCTCCACTGGTTCCTTTTTCTTGTGGTGCAGGCGTGCCCAAGTGCCATCCATCGTGAAAAGCAGAACATACCTGGAGGAATTTCCTGTGGCTGCTGTAAAACTACCACAAACTGAGAGGCCTAAAACAACTCAAATGTGTTATCTTACAGTCTGGAGGTCAGAAGTACAACATCCAGGTGTCACAGGGCTGGTTCCTTCTGGAGGCTCTAGAGGAGGATCTGTATCCTTTCCTTTTCCAGCTTCTAGAGGCTGCCTGCATTCCTTGGCTGGTGTCCCCACGTCAGTCTAACTTCTGCTTCTGTTGTCACATCTCCTTCTCTGATCTGACCCTCTTGTAGGACACTTGTGATGACTCTGGGCCCGCCTGCATCATCAGAATGATCTCCCCATCTCAAGATCCTCAACTTAATCACGGCTGCAAAGTCTCTTGTGCCGTGTGAGGTCACATCTGGTCACAGGTTCTGGGGGTCCGGGTGTTGACATTTTTGGGGGGCATTGTTTTGCCTACCACAACACCCTCCCTTGTTACAGAGACTCTAGCCACCACCCACACACACACATGCACACACACCTGCTCTTACCTTGTTTCCATAGTCCAACTTTTTAAAAGCAGACTCCCTCCTTCTCCTTCTTTCCTTTGTTACTGATGGTGTCTCACACCAGTGGAGTCTCTTGTCAGAGCGGACGGACACTTCTTAGTCTGATTTGACTTGAAGCCCATTGTGTCACGTGCCCCCCGCTTCACCTCCTCCCGCGGCCTGCTCACCACTCCTCAGTCCGTTTGGCCAGAGCTTCTTCCCCCAGGAATCAGAGTTGTTCTCCACAGCCTCTTCTCTTCTCAGATTTACCCTGCTCACCCTCATCACTTCGGACAGCGTCCCCTCCCTCCCAGCTGCTGGGTGGTGGCTGTGCATCTCTAAATCTTCAGCACAGCCCTGTCTTCGAAGCTGCAAACTCAATTTTCCGCTTCCCGGTGGTCATCTCCACACACTGGCCTACAGTCTGTTCATGTGCTGTTTCTGCAACCAGGCTGGATGGTCACCTTCCCTGGGGAAATGACCTGCATCCCCCAATTCTGCTCCTCTGTATAACCCAGGACTTCTGGAGCCACTAAGACCCTCAGAGCCAGATGCAGGTGTTAGTCACTGCAGCCCTCGCACAGGGGTGGCACCTGCAGCTGTTCTGGCCCAGTGACCACCGTATGCCAAAGTGCGTGTCACAATTGGAGAGCAGAAATGCCAGTCTCCCTCCTGACGTCTTCCTGCCCCTCTGGTCTCCTGTAGCCCGTGCAGCAGTGCCGGGCGTCCGCCTCTCCCAGAGTGTCCCCCACTCTCTCTGCTGTCCCTGGGTTCCGCCTGCGATGAGCATGCTGAGCTGTCCTGGTGCTCTCGGGTGTGTGGCACCTGCTCCTTTCCAGGCTCTTCCCAAGATTATAAACTCCTGGAAGAGCTGGATTTTTCTTTCTTTTTACCCTTCTGTATTCCCAGAATGTTTTTGGCACCTGAATGAAACTTCATTAACAGGGTATCCTGGATAGAAAGCGGGAGACAATCTGCACCTCTCTCCTCTCCCCATTTACCAGCTCCCTGCCTCTAGATGAGTGCTGATTCACCCGCTGCTTTCAGTCTCCTGACAGCCGGCTAGTGTGCTGCAAGTTACGAATCCCACTTCACACCCACGTAACCAGCAAAGGAGATGCAGCTCGAGTGACTGGAAAGATGGAGGGTGGATCCAGGGCTTCTCCTCAGAGCTCTGTCTAATCTTGAGAATGAAGTGCAGAGGCTCCCTCGGTGCGCCGCACACGTGCGTGACTGTGGAATGAGGCTGCCCCTGTCCCCGTGTTTCTGTCCATGCCTGGCTCCTGTGTGAGGCCGCGGGAGGGTGCGTTTCAGTGACTCGCCTTGGTGTGGTGTGGCTGGCCGTGAATGCCTTTGCTGATTAGAAGAAAGGAAGGCTGATTTCTTTTTAAAATGCTTTTAGTTCTTGCTCTTAAGGGCAGGATTTGGAAGATTTTTGTGTGTATGTGTAGAGTGTGTACAAATCTACTGTTAGTCCACATTGATTTGAAAACATGAAAAAGAAAACAATATTTTGTTCCCGTGTAACTTGACAAAACATGGTGTGTTTGAATTTTTACCTCGTCCTATGCAAATCTTCCATCAGGTTTTAGGGTGCACCTTGCACAGCCCCCTGGTGGGAGCCGCCCCTGGCTGCAGCCGGCGCTGCCTTTTACGACCCTTGTGACCACCCGCGGCCACCTCGCCATCACTACAGACTCCTTTACCCAGGGAAATGCTCTGTGACTGTGTGAAATAGTCTCTGTTTGCCATTCCAGAGCCACCCTTTCTGTGCTCTGAGAGGCCAACCTCTGGACTGTGTCACCTGGGCCCCTCCCCCCGACCTCCAATGGGATGCACCAGTGGGAGGTGCTCACAGGAGATTGGCGGGTGAAGAGGGGCAGGGCTGCTTCCACCCGTGGCTCCTGTAGGCCTGGGCGGTTAACAGCGCCCACCGTGGTTCCCCCTGGAGCACGTTGCCTCCTTGGTGGGTTTCCTTAGCCCTGCCCACACAGACCTTCAAAGGCCCTGTGTTGAACTCACTTTGGTCCTCCTGAAAGTGTGCTGTTCCAACCAGGACCTAGAGAGTGCAGCGACCTCTTCCGGTGTGATTTCATCCATGGATTTTTCACCATTAACTGTGTTTTCAAATCATGACGACCAAAGCATAAGAACAAGTGCTGTTTCCCAGACCACACGCCACCCCAGGTGTCTGCATGGCCCGCTCCTGTCTCCAGTTTTCATCCAAGTGTCACCCCACTGTTCGCTTCACATCCCTCCCAGAGCACTTGTCACCCTCTTAACACTAACGGGAACACTTGAGTCGGTGGTTTGCTTTTATGCCCTCTGCCAGGGTGGAAGCTCTTGTAGGCAGAGTCTTGTTGAGTTTTCTTCCCGCGGAATCCCTCACACTCAGAACAGGACCCCTACAAAGCAGGCCTCCCTGGTGCTGGGGATGAACGGGTGCATTGGAGAAAGCCCTTGGGTGAGCTGGGGAAGCGGCCTTCCATTGTAACCGATTGTAACAATGGCTTTCCTTCCCACAGCTGCCGGGCCGCAAGTACTGCCCTGGGTACAATGCAGACGTGGGCGACAAGTGGATCTGGCTGAAGTGACCGACCACCTTCTGCTAAAGCTGCGTCACAGTGGTGCAGCTGCTGCCAGTCTGCCTGGTTCTCATGGACTCCATGTAGCTTTAAAATTAGGGGGGAAAGTAATGATCCAAAAATTGCACAGTGGAAGGAATGGCCTCGCGAAAGCAGTCCACCCTGTAGTGTAGCTAAGGGAGTGGAGGGAAGCTCTGCCATGGAAGAGGGTTTGGAACCTTCTAGCTTGATTCTGAATGATCTGTAACTATCACTGAAGAAAAAAGTCTGCTGTGAAAGACAGATATGCTAGAAGGATTTCATTTCATGGCAGTTCTGCCTTGTGTCAGGCAGATTCTGTACACTCTTTCTTCAGACCTCAAGAAATAAAAGTTCCTGTGGCCCTTCTCTCAGCGTACCTCTGGACACACATACATGTCGCGTGCACACACACCTTTGTCTACCATTTTTTAACTGTTGGCTTTGGTGGGCTTGGTTTGATTCAAACGTATGTTAGGATTGAAGAGTTTTTCTGAAGCGTTTATTTTGTTTGCTTTAGCAGTGTAACTGCTACGTTAGAGAAAGGGAAAAAGTGAAGAGGAAACACAAAAAAAACCAAACTGCTGCAGATTTATAGAACAATACATTTGTTTTAAAACAAATTTTGGAAGTCTTGTTGGTGACCATCACCAACTGGTCTCATAATTCCTTCCTCTGAAGGGAGATTCCAGCTTAGAAGGTCAATGGGAGAAAACACAAAAGCAAAATAATATAGTTTTTTTTTTTACCTGAAAATCAAGTTGTCAAACAAAAATGGGTAATGGGAGAGAAAATCACATTTCTTTGTTCATCCCCTATGGAAACTTAGAAAACAAAAGTAAAATTTCTTGCTAGCTAATTGTAAGTTCAGCATTTTAGTTCAGGAGTTAAGCGGTAAGTTGTGAATCCTATTAAATTCTCAGTTTTTTACTGTAGAGCTCCGCTGTGTTCAGTGTGGTAGCTCCTAGCCACTTGTGACTGTTTAAATTTAAATGGATTAAAATTAAATGCAATTTAAAATTCAGTTCCTCAGTTGTGTGGGCCAGTTCACGTGCTCAGTAGCCACATGGCCAGTGGTTTCGGTATTGGACAGCGCAGGAGAGGCCATTGTCCTCATTGTGGAAAGTTGTGCCAAGCATCGCTGCGATGGAGCATGCTTTCCCTCCATCCCTCCCTCCGTCTTTTCTTTCTTCCTGTCTTTCTTTCTTTTTTTAGGTTTTAAGAATTGAAAATAAAGTTTCCCAGCGGTTTTTGAGTTGGAGTCCAAGTTTAAGTGGCCAAAGTTTTGCATTTCACTAAGAAGCAAACTGCTTTAATCATTAAATGAGAGTGCAGCTAGGCATGGGGCCAGTGCTGGAGTGTCTTTTGGTCTAAGTGCCCCACAAACCCATTAAGGAGAGGAGGAAGGAAAAAGAAAAACATCTTTAATTATCTTGGCTGTTCCTCACGTCTGGGCTGTGATGAGCTGACTCGTTGCTTCACCTCGACGTTGCACAGCAGTATCCTTAACTGTCAGAGGGTCTACTATATGGTCAGATTACTTTCATGAGACGGATCCCTCTTCAAAACCTGAGCGTCAGTTCTAGCATTGTGACGACTCTGTGCACTGATAACTCCTCTGAGTTTGTGTCACGCCCGTGTGGTGTACATTCCCTGGTGGTGTGGAAAGTTTGTACTTGTAGTGCTACACCAGCTAATCTGTTTCATTTTCTGGGCAGAGAAAAGCAAATAAGTAGTGTCCAGGTCTTCTCTCCAAATTGAAGCCCTGAGGAGTTTAGAAGATACCCCCTACTCTCTGTATTCCAGAGCAGTACATGATTCAGTTTCATAAGAATGCTTACAACCCTTAAAAACACCCAGGGTTGGAATAAAATTGCATTTTTGAACATTCCATATTGGACTCTTCAGTGCTTTGAGGATCAGGAACTAAAGATGTTATTGCAGCAACATGGTTTTTGTTCGCACAGGCGTGCGTTTACAGGCATGAGAATTTTATATTTTTTTCTTTTTTTTTTTGTGAGGAAGACTAGCCCTGAGCTAACATCCGATGCCAATCCTCCTCTTTTTGCTGAGGAAGATTGGCCCTGGGCTAACATCCGTGCCCATCTTCCTCTATTTTATATGGGATGCCGCCCTGGCTTGATGAGCATGGCTCGATGAGCGGTACCTGTGGACCTCGGACTGCTGAAGCGGAGTGCACACATTCAACTGCTGTGCCGCTGAGCTGGCCCCTCATTTTTTTCTAAAGTACTTTTCTGTTCTATCCAATTTTGTAACTAGAAGGTTAAGAACACTTAGCTCCTTAGAGGGAATTACTTATGTCCACCTCAGCAAAGCAGGGCCCACCTTGGTGGGCAGCCAGGGGGTTGCCCAGCCTCACCTTGTCCACCTGCTGCTGACTGGTGTCCACTGAGCAGCCACCTACCAGCGGCAAACAGCTGCTCATGCTGACAAGGTGTGTGGCCAGAACAGCAGGTAAAGAGGCCCCCCTTCCAACAGCAGCTGTGCCAGAGGACTCATTACGTTGTGTTTTCATCTCGTTTCAAGGGTTGGGTTCTGTAATACAACAGAAACAAAAGAAGCTCTTGTCTTGCTGGCCAAAGCTCAGTGTGTTTGTCAAAAGCCCATTTTTTGTCAAAAGCCCGTTGGCCACTAATGTGGCGTGGGATCTCGCTGTGTCCTGTTTCCCAGTTCTGGATTGGTCGTTCTTAGCAGCGCACATGACAAAACAAAGAGGCAAGCAGCAGCTGCCTTCTTGTAAGAGCACAGTCCGTGCTCATGCTGGGTGCAGAGCTGCAGGGTTTGGGGTTTGGCAGAGTGGGGGCGGAGAGAAAGCAGTAATTACTGTCATACATTTGGGCTTTAGAAGAAAAGTGTGTGTAGGCAGCAGTCGCTGGCTGGTCAGAGCTGGATGAATGGAAGCATGTGCCCGAGTAATTCTGGTTTTACATCTGGACAGAAAGAAAAACTGGGAACCTGAGGCTTTGCTTAGGATAATCAGGAGCGAGAAAGGGCTGAGGCAGCCCATCTCAATAGACACCCCATTGCAAGGGTCAATGGAGGACTTTTTTTAATTTTACAAAGGAAAGTGCACTTTTAAGTGACACATGGGTGACTTGAAGTGGAAGGCTTCCTCAGGGAAGAGGCATGCTGGCCCTCAATCCTCCCTCGAAATGCCTAGTTCTCGTGGACCCTGCTGTGCGGGGTTCCCCACCTGGATTCCATTCCACCAGGCTGCAGAGCTCCTTATAAACGCCTGCCCAAAAAAATGTAAGACTTCCACCTGCAGAACACAGTCATCTGGTCCCAGCGTGGCTGACATCGCTGAAGGCGGCGTACTTAAGGATTCTTCTCGCAGGCCGCCGGATGAAACGCAGTCAAGTCTTATCCTTAAACATGTAAATAAATTTCATTTGTACTATTGACTTTTTTTTGAGGCTGTGCTTAGTGATTACATTAAAAATTCGGGCTTTGAATTTTTAGGAAGGCGTTTTCCTCTGGCATGTTTCGTGTGGAGGTGAATTCTTTGATACAGTGGATGTTGGTGGATCCTCCTGTGTCTCAGGCACCATGCGCAGCCCTGGACGGAGGGCGGTGAAGAAACAGAAGTACTAACCACAGCTCAGGAGAGATGCTCGGGCTGCAGCTCCAGATTTGGGGTCCTCATGTGTAAAAGCGTTAAACGCCGTGGGGTGAGTGTGTGGGCTGACGAGGCCCTGGCCTGACCCCTGAAACACAGACGTGCGGAAGCTGAAGCATGAGAGTGTGGCCTTGGGTGGCGACAGAAGGAGTCGGCCTGTGGCTGGGCTGCTGTCTGAGGTGGATCCAGGACAGGAGGACTGATGGTGATGCAGCCTCGGCCTCAGCGAGAGCTGTGTCCAGAGGTGGCCAGAGAGCCTAGTGGGTAGATGCAAGGTGATGGGAATTAAGGAAAGAACAGAACAAATCGCAGTGAGCTGGGTCCTGTTAAATTGTGAGTTTTCTGTAGTAGAGCTCCACTACAAAGTCACTCCCTCCAAAAACAAATGACCATAATACGCACTTCTTCGTCCCTTGTTGTCAAGCCTTGTTATGTTTGGGAGCCCAAGTGGAAAGGTGGCTGGGACTCCTGAGCAAGGAGGTAGCGTTTTCATCTGTCTGCCCCTCCTGGAGGGGGGGTCATCATTCCCTGAGACTTGGAAAAACCCTCAGGCCCAAGGCCAGACCCTTTCTTTGAACATCACAGTGCAGAGTGTACAACTGGACCCTTTTGTAAAAATCTGGGAGACTGAAGGGTTATTTTAATCTTCATACTCTAGACCTACCAGGTGAAGGCAGGGACCCCAGCCCTCCCCCGTGTGGTCATGGCGCCAGCACTTCTTAGGGAAACATCTCTGCAAGTGCTGAGCCATCTCGGGTCACCTGTCCGCAACGAGACCAGTGACAGAGCCCCCGTCTTAGCCTCCCTCCTGTTTGTAGTGCCGGCTACTCAGACGTTCGCACCCTAGAGAAGTTACCGTGGGTGTGATGAAGACGCCGGTGGTGGTGTGTGAGTTTTGTGCACCTTGTAGATGATACTGGGGTGATCAGTGTCCGCCTGGGAGCATGGTCCCCCAGGTTACCTGGGGCTCAGTCAGCCATGCGTCAGCAGCTGAGTCCAGAGCTAGGCCTCCTGTTGGGAGCAGGGATCAGTGTCTGCAACGGCCCAGTGTTTCCATGGAATAACTTCAGACCCCTGCCCTGAAATCTGGTCCTTGTGCCAGGCCCACTCTCCTGCATCCGTCTTGGCCACTGGCCCACCATCTACCTGCCGTATTGTCCAAAGTGCTTTTCCCTACAAGATGCAGCACCAGAGCCTACCGTGGTATCTGCTCCTAGAGTTTTGCCTCGTAGAGTTCTGCTGCCCTTCCCCCCTCCAGGCCCTTACGTTGGAGTCAAGGCTGCCCCTGGACCCCGTGTCCACAGAGGTGGAGCAGCAGTGGTATCAAAGCCAGAGTTCATTGTCCGTTGGCCCTTGATTCAGAGCTGCTGACTACCCCCCTCCCTAAGAACCCAGCTTATAATGAGTTGGGTCCCCTGGCCCTGCTCCCATCTTCCCCTACGGCGTGGTCCAGTCTCCTGAAGCCCCGGCAGGCCTCATAGCCAAGGCAACACAAAACAGTAATCTGGAGGTGATGGCCATGCCCTGGTGGACATCTGGTGCGATGTGGGTCTTCAGTAGACTCACTATCCTCCCCTCACCTTGTACGCCTCTTCCTTCC